GGCCCCCCCCCCCCCCCCCCCCCCCCCCCCCGGAGGGATTCCCCTCTCTTGGTTCCTCCAGCAATCACTGGAGGGACAGAATGGGAAGGGGCCAATCGCAACTGGCTTTGGCTCTAGAGAGGCAGAGCCAGCTGTCAATCAGGCGGCAGGGTGGATCCTGACAATATTGTCAGGATCTTTCCTGGCTGCAGCACGGCTCTGCAAGGTCAGCATATAGTGGGGCAGTAGCCTGCTAGATGCTGACTTTGGGTCACAGGAGTATATTAGTACTTTACTCATGTGACCCAAAAGAAGACTAAAGCAAAAAAACATTTTGCTTTAGTTCTCTTTTCACGTGTCCCCACTCTATATAGAAAGTATTAGTAGCAGTTTCACAATCTATTCTCAAAACGTATGGTCACTTAAAGGGAGACTTGACCCTAATCTGACAAGCATGGATCACAAGCAAGCACAGTATTAGGCCGGAGATAATGTGTAGATTTCCTTGGTTTTAATTTCCGATACCTGAATCGTTCTACTGAGAGACCTCAAAGTTTATTAGTCTGAACCATCACAACATGTAGGGTACAAAAAGGTATCTATGGGAAAACCCCTGACAGCCAGCGATCAAGGGAAGCAGTGTAGAGGGAATGATTGTCCCATTTCAGATCCCCAAAGAGCAGTGACCAAAGGTCAGCTCTTTGCTGGAATAGGAACTGGGTGTGCAAGAAGGAAAGTGCCGAAGGCAAAACGTATAAAGTCCAGATTAATTTTTATTCAGACTCAGGTCCTAAAAAGCTTATGACATAAGAGTCTGACTAGAACTGAATCTGAACTTTACACAATTTCTGCTTTTGGTGCTTACATTTTGCACATGCAGTACCTAGAACGAGAGATCTGGAAGTAGCACTCATGTCACAGAATTTCGTGGGGGCAGTACTTCCAGGTTGTAACTTGTAGGATTGAAGACATGGATTGCAGCGTTATTTTCACACTACACACACCAGTTATCCTTTCTTCACAGACTTGTATGGAATTGCTTTTACAAAGCACTGTCTTGTGCCATAGCCCTTAAAATGGGACAGACAAAAGAACCATGTGCTATGAATTAGATCTGAAATGTTCATGGAAATACTCAAGTCATTTTTAAATAGGGGTGGGGATTTAAGGATCTACAACACAGGATCCCCAGGCCCAGCTGAGAACATCATTCAGTGGGGATGTCAAGGGAGTAGTGAGGGCACTTCACCCACTGCGCCCTCAGCCATAAACACAGCTTGGCTGAGAAGTTCACATTCCAGAGAGATGCATAATGTCGGAAAATAAGAGACAGATCCAGCACACTTACCCAATCCTGGTGAAGAGCTTCCCCTGGGCATGCAGGAAGCTGAGCAGGAAGCGTTTGTTCAGCTGCATTTGAAAGAAAAAAAAAAAAAAAGAAAATGAGAAAAGAGAAACAATAAAACCTTCGACATTCTGGGAAAGGAGTGGAGTCCCGGGTGCTGAAATAACCTGGCCTGGGGATGTGGGGGCGAATGGTTGGAGATGGGAAATGAATGACATGCCCTAGATCTCACACACATGCTGGGATGGGCACATGCCATTCTAAGGAGCAGAGCTCAGACAGAGTCTGAAACAAGCCCTCTGCTGGATGTTTTGTGAATGGAACGTTAGTGACAAATCATTCATAAAGTACATTACCTGCTGGAATACTATTTGGGTTTACAGTAAGGCAGACCAGCTGCTTGTTCTGTTCATGCATAAGTAAAGCAATGAACACACATTAACTATAACATGTCCAGAGGTACTTTCACCTAATACGAGACAAGTTAATCATGGGGAAAAAAAAAAAAAAAAAACCTTGAATTTTATCAGATTTTACACAGATGTCTTTCAAAGAATCATATTTGCATGATCACCTATGACGCATTTGTCATTGTGTGGCTTAATAAAACAAGGCAGGAAAAGAAACTTACATCAGATAAAACGAGATACAACTTATTATAAAAACTGTCTTAAAAGGTATATTTCCACTGACAAGCATATATCAAGTCTTCTAATAACAGACAGAAAAAAGGCAGCAAATCATGCTATATGTAAAGAGCAGGAGTCTTGTTTAGGTGAGTTTTCACTGTACGGACTATAAAAGGAACCACTGTACCCAACTGGAAGTGTTGAACCTTTACTACTCAGAAAAGGCAGGGGTGCCATTCCACTGCAAACAAAGCTGCAAACCACCTCTATCTGACAGGTCTTCCCTGTATCTACCAACTTTTCATAAATTACAATACAAAGGCAAAAAAGGATTTTAAAAATGACAGTACTGCGATTTAGAACACTGTACTAGTAAACCAGTCTATACATTAAAGACCCCCTCCAGCCTGAATGTGGGGATTCGATAGGAGTGTGAAAGGGTAAGAGCCAATATATTTTTTTCTTTCATCCAGTGCTGTATGCATCTTTCTATGCCAGCAACAACAATTTCTCTCATTTCTTTTCTTGGTGTCACCAGATGGAAAATTAAGGAAAATTTCCCTTAGGAGGACTGCACTAAAACACCAAATAATGGCACTTTCCCCTCCCAACTCTAGCCATTTTTGTTAATAAGTAAGGTACTTCAATGCAATTTTTAAAAAGGTTTAAAATCCCATCAAAAAGCAAAAACTAACTAAAGCACAAGGATCCAATGAAATGTTATTGCTGAAAGTAAAACCACTAACATTTTTGTAATTGCTTTGTCACATGACTTTACTGTAATAATCATTTGTGAGATACCGAGTAGCAGTCATCATGTGGACTAGAATTGGCCGGTACTCTAAAGCTTGTGTGCTTTAATAGCCTATCTGGGTAGCAACAGGCTGCAGTGAATGGCTTTCTAACAAACTAGAAATATACTTTAGCCATTATCACCGATCTCAGTGTGCAAAGACTGGATTTCTAAGTAGGATGTTGCAATTATTGTTGATCTAAAGAAGAATGAGGAACCAAAAGGGCAGCACAGGGTGACAGCAGGTGCTGTGTCCAATATACATACAAGTGCAGGCATTTCTTTTTTTTTTTAATGAAGCAACATATACAGACATTATAGAGTATACACACATGCTACATTTAATAAATAATCCTAATTTTGATAGCTTATTTTAAAGCTTCCTGACAAATGTGAACTGTGTCAACCTATAGAACGCAAAAAAAAAAAAATGGATATGAAATCTGGCAAATAATATTTTGTAATGCTTTGTCAGACCTGTGCTAGCAAAGTATTTACAGGAGAAACACAAAGCTATAAAAAACATAAATCAAAATTTGCCAACGCCATGACGCACGCTATGGGGTACCAGAAGCGGACAGCTAGTCCCCAGGCACGCCTGCGTTCTGACACCTGCACAATCCTGAATGTACGCCGACGGCACCAAATAAGGGAAGGATCGCGCGTAGCGGGCCCCAGAAGAAATTGTGTCTTAAGATGAAATTTCAATACTTGAGTTTTGGACGTAAATTTCTGCATCTGCTCTTTCTCAAACCTGAGTCTGTTCTAAGCCTCCAGAATGGAGAATAAAAGTGAGAGAAGCAGCCGAGATGTGAGGATCCCTGGGAATCCAGGATACATCCAGCAGAGAGAGACATAACAGTGAACAGAAGGGAGGGAGGTGCGGGACCAAAATTGGGGACATTCATTTGTATTTTTTTCATGAACATCTGTAGTTAAAGTGACATTAAACCCTCAGATTTTTTTTACATAAACCAATACTGTAATCCATGGTTGTTTCCCTTCTCTTTGCTGCTCTTCCTTTTAAATCTGTATCTCTTCTCATGCTGGGCAGAACTTCTGTTTTGCAGCAGACTGCCTTGTCTCTGAAATGGCTACATGGTGTCTGTGTATAGGTTTGCAACCTGAGCCAGCACTACAGGAAGAGGCCCCGAGCTGAAAAGGGAAGTTCTCCCCAAGCATGAGATGACATGAGGATTTAAAAGGAAGAGCAGCAAAGAGAAGAGAAACAACCATGGATTACAGTAAGGCACACATTACAGTATTGGTTTATGTTAAAAAATCTGAGGGTTTAATGTCACTAAGTAAAAAAAAAAAATAATAATATGCTATCAAAAAGCAGGTAGGAAAAGCAGGCATTCATTCTTTTTTCCTGACTTACAGAGCTTTAGTGTAATCCGAAGAGGTGACATTAAAGTAGATGTAAACCCAATCAACACAAGTTTTACATATTAAAGAGGAACGCTGCCCATACCTTTGAAATGACAAATACTTTAGAAGTATGCGTTTTGTAGAGTGTCATTACTAAATATTTATAGATATTTGCAGACTTTGTATTCTTTCCATGCCTTTTTTTCTTATCCTCCCCATTCTTCCCACAGTGGCTATTTTTACTAAGGGCAGTTTAATCCATTTCCATTTACTTCCTGGAACTCTGCAACATTTGAGTAGGACATGTGACCATGCACATCATCTCCGGTGGAAAATATGCCTTTCCCTGAGATCTCGGGAGATTTGTAGCAACGCACTGTGATGCAACCTTCCCAGGAAGTAAGATGAATTCACAAGAGCATGCAGAGCTGCATGCTGACGTGATTTTAGAGAACAGGGGTAAAAGGTCCACTTAAAGCAATTTCAAAAGTTGTTTTCAATCTCTTAAAATCAGAAGTTTTCATTGTAATTGATGGTGATCCTGCCATAAAGGTCCTTGTTCAGGCATTTCCCGTTATGGGATGACAACGTCTCCCAATCGTGCTTCTGGCACAGTCATTTATCGCCCCTTGAGAAGATCACAAGCAACGCACACACACTGCAAAGGTGTGGTCCATGGTTATATCTATTGGACCCTAGCATAGAGTATGATGCTGCAGCAAATGCATGTACACATGATGTGACTGAAAAAAAGCCGGAGGCGATCAACAGCTCCAGTGCGTCCATGCACCTTTGAGGAGGAGTAGGCTACCTCCAGGTACACCTGCAATTTAAATTTATCGACTGCATTAATATGCTCCAACATGGAGACTCAAAGAGTTAGGATCACACTTCACAGAGGAGCCCTGACGGGGCAGTGTGGCGTTTTGGCCAAAGGTTTGTGCAACTAAAGCCTCTGCTTTTAATGCATACTGTTGACAGGGTGATTTGTTTTGTTGCTGGCTAGCTGGCAAGTGTGCTGGGGATTTTTTTTTCTGGTGGCGGATGATGCTGCAGCAAATGCATGTACACATGAAGTGACTGAAAAAAAGCTGGAGGCGATCAATAGTTCCAACATAAAAAAAAAAAAAATGAAGAAAAAAGTAATTAACGAAAAAAAAAAAACCATGGACGTGGTTTATTAAACACAGTGCTTTAGCAAACTATAAAAGTTACACGGTTAGGGCTTAGACTTACTTTAAAGTGACCGTGTCACAAATACTAAAGTGTGAATCCTTAAAATTCTCCTGCTGCCCAAGTCACCAAATGCTGCTTTGTTGATAAAGAGGTCACATGGAGCAACCAGTACTGTGCGGGGTCACTGGAGGATATAAGCACTCACCTGCCTCCCCCTGCTCTTCTCATGCAATGTGTCTGCTACTTACATGAATAAATGGACTGTATATAGCTTGGGTTAAATACCTAAAAGGCAGATATTTACATAGATTCATACATGTTTTTAATAAATGAAATTATACATCTAAGGGTTAAATGAAGTCTAAAGAAGGCCATACTGCGGTTTGCTGCAAAAACACTAACATTGCAAGTTAAAAAGAATGCATGCTTGCAGTCTAGCAAACAGTGTATTTTCTGGCCCTTTTAACAGGTTCCCCAGTTGATGTGCAGGCATAGTAGCAAAACCTAGAGCTCTCTATGACCTATTGGCTTGATATCTGCTGGCTGTACAGCTCAGAGGCTTTCTACGCCCCCTTAAAAGTATGTCTTCATGCTCCTAAAGCTACATAACGACAAAGCACAACATTGCACAGAGCAATGTGGCTCCTCTCAGTCTTACCTTATGTTCTCCCTGTTCATTTGATTGACAGCTGTAGGATGATAAAAGAGCAGAAGAGAGGGAGGATTAGGCTGGGGATAGAACCAACCTATTACATGACCCATTTTTGGCAAAATAAAAAAGGAAATTTAACCACCTTCTTCACCTCCCACTAAGGCAGTGGTTCTCAACCTTTGTAGGGCCGGGACCCCTTGGTAACATTTGCCAAGTTGTGGTGACCCCCAACCGTAAAATGTAGGGATGCACCAATACTAGTACCTGTGTGGCCTCTCAGGAGGCTAGTGGGACTCAGGCGGCATCCAGTACGGGCTCTGTAGTGCCTAGTTGTGGGCTCTATGGTGATCAAGCACTCACCTTCCCTCACTCCTGCCTGCTCCCCTCTCTGATCCTCTCCGGCCGCTGCAGCGCCACCTAGGAGAACTGACACTGTCACGCTAG